ACCAACAGCTACAGACCATGGCGCAGAGCCAGTTGAAAACGTCATTTGATTTTGAAAATAGCCATTACCATATCCAAGCAGGACACTCACACTATCATAAGAATTGGCGACAACGATATCCAGTTGGGTGTCGTTGTTGAAATCACCAACGGCTACAGAGTATGGATAAGAGCCAGTTGAAAACGTCATTTGATTTTGAAAAGAGCCATTACCGTATCCAAGAAGGACACTCACATTTTCATCATGTAAATTGGCAACAACGATATCCAGTCGGGTGTCGTTGTTGAAATCACCAACAGCTACAGACAGTGGCCAAAGGCCAGTTGAAAACATCATTTGATTTTCAAAGCCTTCAAAAGAGCCCAAAATAACATCAATGACACCAGTGTCATTGCTAACCACTAGAATATCTAGGCGATGATCTTTGTTAACATCACACAGCGCAAAGGCGATTGAAGAAAAAGCTCCTGTTGAATACATCCTTACTTGGGCAAAACTCCCATTTCCGTAACCGAGAAAGAAAGCGATATTGCCAGTGCCGTTATTGGTAACGATTAAGTCTAACCGATTATCTTGGTTGAAGTCCCCAACGCCAATCGAGTACGCAGAAGAAGCATTAGTGGAATAGGTGAATTGCTTCGCAAACGTGCCATTGCCATTATTTAAAAATATGCCTATTTTGTTACTTCCATAATTAGCGACAGCAATATCCTGGTAATCATCTTGATTAAAATCGCCCACTGTAATTGAGTTCGGTCGAGAACCAATGCTAGTTGAAATAGTCAGTCCGTTTGTAAAATTCACATTTTGATTTCCAAAAAGTATCTGAACATTGTCAGTACCATAGTTGGCAATGGCGAGATCTAAATAAGTATCGTTATTGAAATCTCCAGTGGCTACAGAGGATGGAAGAGAATCATAGCCTGTCGAGTATGAAGTTGGGCTCGAGAAGCTTCCATTACCGTATCCAAACAGTATGCTTATAGTTTGGGTTCCGTAATTGGCAGTGATAATGTCGAGTGTTGTGTCGTTATTCATGTCAGAGAGGCAAATGAAAATTGGACGAGATGAGCCCATCGAAAGCTCGACATGTTTTTCAAAGGATCCATTTCCAATTCCGAGAAATACACCTATGCTATTAGTGCCAAAATTCGCTACTGCGATGTCCAATATACTATCGTTGGTGAAATCGCCAACAGCGACTATATACGGCGTTGATCCATTGCCAGTTGGATACTGGATTGGAGTTGAAAAGGAGGTACCATTCTGTCCAAAATAAATAGCAATATCATTGACGATATGATTGGCAACAACCATATCTGGCCAAGAGTCGTTATTGAAATCACCAACAGCGATAGATCGAGGACCATACTTGTAGTCGATGGGCTTTCTGGGTGTTTCTTTAAGCTTAAGTCCACATTTTTGAACTAAACAACAGAAGATAAATAAGATAAGCACCAGTTGATCGATCTCGAAACTTGTTCTACTCATTGAGGTAAGACCTTCAGAAGGTGTATACGATAGTCTCTGAAAAGCTCATTTGTTGCTGTACTTAGACACGAATGAAATCTATCGTCTTTTTAAAGCAATTTCTTTTTAATTCTTAGAATTTAGAGAGATTTAGACATGTGACTTAATCTACCATATTAATTTTCTGTTCCTATTGTTTTCGATCTGTGGTATAATGTGTTGGGAAAATACTTCATCCTCGACAATGGCAAAGAACATCAAAGAACATAATGCCGGCGAAGAATGCAAGGATTTATGAAGAAATGCGGCTACATGGGATCCTTTTGAAGCTTTACAATATCTTTTTGTGCATACATATCGGTCAAAATCTCACTAATGGAAGAATGGTTGACATTGTTACAGAATCAACTAAACGTGAAATTTATTCTGTTGACTAATCCTATCGGGACTTGAATTTGTATTTTTCCCTAGTAATTAAAATAACCTAATAAAAGAGTCTCTATAACAAGAAGTTAACAATTACAACGAGCATAACTTCCAAAAATAGAGAACTGGATGGAGATCTGGTGATCCACTCTCTATGTGCAAGCAAAGTTTCACTATTCATCGATAGAATTTAAAATACTTTGAAGATGTTTGATTTTCTAGAAGATTTTTACTTTCAAAATAACGGAAAACCAAGACTGGCTGAAAATAATATTCGAAAATAAGTTATGAGTTCTTAAAGAATCATATTATCAATCACGATATGTTTATGAATAATATTTTAAAAGAGCACTTGATATTATTGATTAAGAAATGAACCATGTAATAGATAATACTCTCAGTTAAATAATTTCATATCGCGATCAAATTCAAAGAAATCTTTTCTCTAAATTTAAAGATGCCGATTCGTTTTAGTGTATCATTTATTCGGAATAATTCAAACGTTATGTTACTAGATGGATATTAATTATTTAATTTTATACATGGATAAAAAGTTTTAAAAATGTTTCAAATAAACAAGAATGTAAACCATATAATCTTAGATATACACATCACGTATGATATCAACTAATGAAGCTTTTTCTGTATGCTTAGTGAACAAGTCTTTTGATAAACACAGGAACCGATTAAAAAGTATTGATAGGTAATTGATTAACTAATGGTTAAGTCAATTGTTTCGTTTATTGTAAAGAAATAGATGTTGTCTAGTTGTTAAATCTAATCTTACGACTAATCCAAATACTATATATGAAAGCTTGTTCATGAATGAATTTAAATGGAAAAAAAGATGAAATTCGATTTTCTAGTTTAAAGAAAATGCTCAAACTACTAAATTACCTATAATACCCTAGGATGTCCATGGGAGTTCGTCGTCGATATTCTAATTAGAAAGTCAAATTTCTGACAACTATCTTTCACAAAGTTATCTTCTGAGGAAAAATGAAATCTGTTTCGTAAATTCATAAGAGCGTCCATAGAATATCCTTTTCCTTCCTCCATAAAATTATTTTCTATTTTACAGCGGATATATTACTGATTCAGTCATACAGTTGTAGGCACTCAGAAATAGTCAAAAGTGTCGTATAAAGTTTCAAACAAAGCACTCCGATATGAATTTTCCTGACTTACAACAAAAACTTCCTAAATATCTATAAAAAATAAGATACCTGTAGGATTTGGTGAGGTAAAAGAGACTGTCACTACACCAATAATAATTGCCATAAGTGTGAACAAGCCAAATGCACTCGTAGCTATTGAAGATCGATGCTTTGTCAAAAAGGTTTTATCCCTAATGAAAAGACTATAGATTGTGCAGAAGGAGAAGGAACGAAAGAGATATACCAAGATTTTGGAGCCGCTTTTGACTTATTGATATTCTTATTAATAAGAGCAACCACCGTCGGTGAATCAGATTGCTTTTGCGTTGCATTTTCGACATGAGGATCGTTTTCACCGCCCGTATTTTCAACTGCAATATGATCATTGACCCTGCAATCTTCGGTCATCTCTAGTAAAATAGCAATATTTAAGAAATGAAAGCTGTGAAAAAATCATCATTAGTCATTTAAATAGTTAATTTTATACAAAATACTTGTTCAGTTATCGATTCTGTTTTGCCCTTGTAGAAAATCTGGAGATTCTTGATGAATAATAAATTTTCTTCAAAAATTCAATTCAATAATTTCGAAACTCTGATCTAAGATCTTCAATGATTAAATATGAACATAGTGCTAATAAAATATAAAGTGTACCGGAACTTAAAACATAGGTGACCATTGAAAATATTTATATAGAAGCAAGGTCCTTGCAGTATGTAACTAGCAATATATGCTTGCATGTAAATTATAATTTACTGTTGATTAGGCTTCATCGACTAAAAAATATTTAGGAGCACAGGCTTTTTTTCTTCTAAATTTTTCATATCAACAGCTATGGCTATTACATAGATAAACTAATTCTAGTTGATTTTGATATAGTTTTGCTTTATGAGCTTTTTCGTTCATTAGAAATACTAATCATGAACACAACGATGCATTTTACTGTCTTATATTATTTCGAGATACTTTTATCATCGGCTTCTGAGTTACCTAAAGATTGTATAATCGTTTTTATCCGATATCTTATAACTTCATCATTCAAAATGATTCATTTTTGTAATGATTTTTCAGTCAGATAATAAAAAAAGATATGACATTTCATTCAATCAAATATAAAAGAATCTAGTAATTAGATTCGAAGAATCTTGATTATGAACTCGATCATGTTGAGAATATGATATCATTTTGGATCTTTATTTTATTTCTAATTATTTTGAGTTCTGTAAATATCAAGTACTACTTCGTGATAAGCTGTCAATCAGAAAAGTTTTTGATCTAAAACTATATCGTCTACATATACGATAGAATACATGTGTCAGACACAAAAAAGCACGGAAAAAAAGCAGCAGAAAAATATGAAGTCAAAACTAAAGATGTTAAAGTTTACGGATTATTTGATAATGTATTCAAGTTTCCGTACAATTTTGTATACGATTTATAAATGACGATGATAATTTACGATCTAAAATTCTATATCAAATGATAACATTTTACAAAAACGTTAAACA